TGATAAATTTTTTTAATATTAATTCTATAATTATATAGAATTAAAATAAAAAATTTTTATCAAGTTTGGTTTAATAGTTGTTGAGATATTTAACTTAAAGTTGAAAAAAAATTTACTTAGAAACAATTTGCTTGGTTTCTATTGACACTCCTCATATTATAGCAAAATTAGCATCTGGGCAATTATACTTAGCGCATAAATTTATCAATTCCGATCCATTCCGTCCGGAATTTGGTCGATCTGCTGAATTTTGGTTGCGCGACTAATCTATTCTTGATGACGTATTGAGTTACCTTAGCACGGACATTTGGACGTGCCTAACTATTAGTACAGTATTAGGGAATGATACTAAACTCAGAGATAAGTCAGTCCGTCCCGGTCGGCCCAGTATTTATGTTTATCAGTCCGGCCGGTCTTATCGTTATATTAATTTATCATTATTACTAATCGTTGGATCATAATCAGGTCCAGGATTGGGTCATTTCGGACCAAGGACGAGAATCATTCGGTCTTCAGTCTTTTACAATTCGGTCCTGGTCTCTACGAAGACCAATCCATTCCTACACTAAACCTGTAGTCTTTATGATAAATAAATTCAGGCATTTCTATGCTGGAAAGTCGATTGTGTTCTCGTGGTTTTGATTTACAGTTAATGATTTAGCGTTAGTCTATTGCCATCGTCATGGGATGTTTGGTTTTAAATAAATTTTAACGTTTCTTTTTTTGTTGAAACATAACCAAAAGACTTTAGCAGATCAGATTAACTTTAAATAGAATAATACTATCATAATAAATTTTATTATACAAATCGATATTCTGGCGTTACATTTGTGCATCTAATCATTTATCTTTTAACTTATCATTATTGAATAAATTTCATCCTTATATAATAGTATAGGGAATTTTTAACATTTAAATACCCCCAGTTACCTCAACCTGTTTGATAGATCATCCATATTTTTCATATTTTTCGCACTTAAAAAAAATAAAAAATAAAAATGAAAGTATCGCCAATTTCCCAACTTTTATTATATTCTCTTATAATTTTAGCAATAGTTTTTTCAGTCAAGGCCGAGTCAAAAATAGATTTCTCATATGTCGGGAAGACTGGACCAGCATTTTGGCACCTTTTACCAAATTCTTCAATATGTCTAAATGGTCGTCGTCAGTCTCCCATTGACTTAAGATCACACACTGATCTTAAAAAAAAATTCGAACCACCGTGTAATATCCGAGTTAAAAATATTGTTAAAGCTGAATTAGTTCATACCGGGACTACAATTGAAGTAGCTTTGGGCAAGGAAGAAGAAGGTGAAGAAGGCAAAGGCAATGAGTTTCTGCCAGCTAGTTTTACTGTTGGAGATGAAACTTTTAAACTACTCCAATTTCATTTTCATACACCCTCAGAACATCGTATTGATGGTGTGCATCTTGATGTTGAAGCACATTTTGTGTTCAAAAGTCAGAAAGACAAAATATCCGTTGTTGCAGTATTTTTTAATATTGATCTTGAGGGAAAGGAGAATAAATTTTTTAAGCCTATCCTTAAAAATGTAATTTTTAAACATAATAATAATAATAATAATAATAATATATTTATAGTTATATACTAATATTAATTTTTCTGTATTTTAAAAGATTCCAAAACCGAAAGAAGTGATAAAAATTCGTAATATAGGTTTATCAAAAATTTTTAAAGATATTAAAAATATTCAAGAAGTAAGTATATCATACATATACTTTAAACTTGACAATTATAAACTTAAAAAAACCTCTTATACTAATGTTGCTTTTTATTATTCTAATCAAGCCTTTTACGTATAATGGAAGCTTAACTACTCCACCGTGTACTGAAGGTGTCAGATGGTGGATTAATCATAAACACATACAATCAATTAGCAGCTGTCAACATCATAAATTAAAAAATGCTATTGGATTTAACTCTAGATTTATACAACTTAGAGAATCGGATTATGAATCGGATTCGAAAAATGAGAATTATTATTAGACTAGGCACTATTATACCGCAAGTTAGTACCTTCTGTGAAGGTCTAACAAAATATATGTTGGACGAACTTTCTTTAAATTAGGCGAACTTTCTTTTTTTTTTTTTTTATTTTTTCTTGTTTATTGTAAAGTGTAATATGGATGGTCTCATCAAAATACTGTAAAATGCTAGTAACGTGATTAGGTTTATAATAAAGTTATTGTTAATAGTCCTGGCTGACTAAATGCTTAGTTTCCTGTCAATTGCTCTCTGAATATTTAATTGTTATATCCCGAGTTACCTTAAGAAATTATTAAAATTGATCAAAAGATACCGCATTAACGTGAAACAATGCCCCAGATTTTTGAAAGGGCAGCTACCTCTTAATCTCAGTTAGAAAAAAAAGGATGTCAAGAGAGTATCTACACTTTCAACTTTATTTTTTTGAAATAATATTTCGCGTCAATACTTTAAGTGGAAGAATTCAAAACAATGCATGCATTTGAAGCCAATGCATAACTAACTACCTGACCATCAGACAAATCCTTGATATGCATGAAGATTAAACTATTTGGGGTATCCAAACTATGTAAGAATTAGTAAGTGTCATATTGATACGTATGGTTTTTAAAATATATAACAAAGAAAATGGTTAATGTAATACAATTCATTACATAGTTTACTTAATAGATTATACGTATAAACTTTGACTAATTAATCATTCATAACTTTGTGCACTAAGTTTCTATTCGTAATGATTCATGCAGCCGATAATAAATTCTACGAAGAAACTTCTAAGAAGGCGTATCGGAGATTAAGCGATTCGCAAAAAAATAAATTACGCAGATCAGGTTCTGCTACTAATAGGAATTATACGTAGCAGATTTGTAATGATTTCTTTTTAAAATTTACCATAGATACTTCGGACTTTTTTTTTTTTTCTTATTTTGTAAAGAGAATGTAAGTGGGTTAATGTGATGAGGTTTCTGTAACAATTTAATGCGCTAAATCATTTTTTCTTTATTGTTACAAGTGAAATAGCGCATACCGTATTTTGAAACTTAATAATACTGCAGAGAAATACTTTAACATGAAGCTTTTTCAGGAATTTCATTTCGGGTTTTTTTTTTTTTTTTTTTTTCGGGAAACTGAATTTGCGGAAATGCGAGTTGTCAAATCCCGGTGAATCATAATTTCAGGAAGACAGCCGGAATTAATCCTTTTCAGATCATCGTTATATGCTAATTCCGTTTAAATTAGGAGATTATGAATGTACGTACGTACGTACGTAGTTAGTTTCTTTAGCAGTTAGTAATGATTATAGTATTCGATAAACTTATATGCATTGTATTTAACTGTTTCATACATTGTCTCAACAATGGAAAACTGATCTGACTTATAGATCCCCCTAGGATTTGACGATTTGAGAACTAAAATTTGAATAGTGTACATTCATCGGAAAATACTCAAAAGGACAAAGCCTTGAAGATTGACAGAATAAAGTGAAACATTACACTGGCATTAGAAAATTGAACCAAACACAACCTTAGAAAGTTGAACCAAACACAACCTTAGATTTGCTAAATAGCAATACTAAATAAAAATATTTTTTAAATTTTAAACGCTTAATTAATATTAAATTTTTATATTTATTAAATAATTTTTATAAGTATATATATATATATATATATATATGCTTTAAAATAAGTACTTGTAAAAAATATCCCGATCACTATATCAAGATCACGGGGTATTTAGTAAAAATACCCTGATCCGTATGTGTACAAGCGGAAACCAACGGCTCAGGATATTTCAGTATTTTTATTACGTACATCCCAATATACCTTAGGCCTAATAAGTATTTACTAAATACTTAGCAAGTACTTGCTTAGCACTTTGACAAAACATTGTGATGGGATACGCTGCTGCTACATAGTCTAGAGTGTCCAGCTTACTGCCTGCACAGAATCTGCGCAAATATGTACAAATTCTGCTGATTCTGCTCAAAAGCAGAAAAAGCAGAATTATTATTATACGTATTAGTTATATAACGATAATATATAATAACAATTGACAACCTTCTCAATTGTAATTAGTTAAGAAGATTATGCAGAAGTAGCCGAACAAAAAGCAGTGATTTCTAGACACTCTATGCCAGCCTTTGTAAATATTCAGTACATTAGTCGGTTTTTAGAATAAATTACATATCAGATATGATTGGAGAAAATAAAGTGTAGATCATGTTACGAGAATCCAAAGCGTAAATTTCAGCTCAAACCAATAAAATTAATATAAAGGAAATCTTTCGTTCGGTTCATAGTCTTAGACATTGACCTACGTAATTTATTGCTATAGTGAGAGTGCATGGTAAGAATTGGCGTTAGTGCTAGTGTTATTTCGACAAATCAAATATTTAGTTTACACCAATACTCTCAGCACGCTATACACTTTAAAGTAAGATGCTTCGAAGCATAATTGAATGTGTTTTAAGATAAAGTAAAAGTGTTAGCAACTTGCAGATCCCTTAATTGAATTGAACCGATAGACAAGTAGATGATAATTTAATCTTATATAATAATAAATTATTAAATAGAAGAAATGAGAATTTAAAAGGTTCATTCATAGAAAATCAATAATTGAATAATTTTTTTGTACGTTGAGATTCAATCACAGGGATTTTGTAAATTACAGAATTGACAAAGATATAAATTGATGCCAATTATAAGAAAATCTTGCTACAGGTTACTGAATATTGGTTGAGCTTTTTTAATAATGTTAATGTGCGCATAGCAGAAGGTTAACTAGGAAGTTACACGAAAACCCTTGATTGAAAATTATTACCTTATTACATGTTTATTATGAATGTCAAAAGAAATATTGTACGTACGTACTGTACGTATATATTACATAATTTAAGTAATTACCTTAAATAAATATTTATTACGAATATCAAAAGAAAATATTATTTTAAATAATTTTGAGTAAGGACGTTATAAAATTTTAAAATGAATGATTAATGATCATTGTCATTGGTTATTTTTCCGGTTTTCTCTTTTCCTTGTTCTATCTGCCAATATCTTTGACATTGTCTATGTGATCTAGTTCCTACAACTTGACTAACCTTAACCCAATTATTTCCATGCATTTCCACACCTTTCTTAATCAATTCTTTTTCCGTCTTACTCCACATCCGTTTATTAATAAAAGGATTAACACAAACTAATGTATCCGCCACTTTTTTAATTTCCCACCCATTTCTTCCTGGTATCATTTGTTCAATTCTCTCCCAATCTTTGCCATATTCTTTTAATAAATCACGCAATTTATCTAATTCTTCAATTGTCCATTTTGGAGTTTGTAAACGTTTGTACCGAACATAAACTGAATGAACTGGTCGTTTTAATATCTCAGAAATTACTCGATAATCTTCTTTATATTGTTTAGCTAGTTCTTGTAATTTCTTATCTTCTTCAGGGCACCATCTTCCAAATTTGGTTTTCGATAAAACTTTCCATCTTTCTTGAACTTGTGCTGATGACCTATCAGAAAAAAATTTCTTTCGAATTTCACTCCATTTTCCTACACCATATTTATGCGTAGCCATTCTTAATGTTTCATCATCCTCTGGTGTCCATGTATTGTGTTCAGATGTTGGTCTTGCTTTAATTTTTTCTAAATGGATGTATTTCCGTCTTATAGTGGAGGGTGGTGGAGCGGGAAGATATTGTTGA